TAAGATTGAGGGACAGAGAAGAATAGAGTGAGAAAGGCAGAGAGACAGAAACACACACATTAAAGGAGAGATGGAAATATGCAGAGACAGTGAGAGACTCAGAGGGAGATACAGAGAGACAAACGAGGACAAGTGAGAGAGTCAGAGTGTGCGGGAGCGCGCGCGCGCACCCATCCACACACACACACACACACACACACACATCGTATAACTTCGTATAATGTATGCTATACGAAGTTATTACGCGTGTGGCTGCTAATTGACAGTACCTGAGGCAATATGCAGCTGCGAGGATGGGTATGGTGTACATCTGTACTTCAAAAAGTTCGTGGAAAAATAGAATTAAAAGATCATACAAATCTTTCCACGAACTTTTTGAAGTACCCTGGTATGTGTCCAGTACTCATTCATAAACTTGATGTAGCCCTCCATCCCAGAGCCCCCTGATCCTCAAACCTGTCACTTCTGTCCCTGTCTCAGCACCACCTCCCTGGGATGTCCTTTCCACAGGTGGAGTTTCCTTATCTGGGCTCTGCCCAGCCACAGGCCTGATCTTTCAGGCTAGAGGAGCTCTTTCCCAACGCTCCTTTCCCTGGCTGCAGGGGAAAAACTTGGCTCCAAGACCCTGTCCCCTCTGGGATTAGGGATAGACCTCAAAATGTTTACACTGAACAGATATCCTAGGGAGGCAGGAGAAGATAGGAAATGGGACAAGGCAGAGGGCTGCCCAGGTTGATCCTGAGAAGTGTGTCCACTTTCTCCCCCTTTTCCCGCTCAGGTCCACTGCCTCTCAGATAGGAATTATACCAACACATGACTCACCAGAAGTGGTGTCTGCCTGTCCTGATGCTTATGAGAAGACAGCAGAGGGGAAATTGGGGGGTTCCACACTCTCCTGGCAGATGCTATCACAGGAAGAGGGGTGTGGGTGATGGTCTCCAAGCTGGGCCTGGGAACTCGGTTATAGCAATGTGGGGGCCTGGTGTTTTGGGAGCCCTGGTCCAAAGGGGACACAGCCTTGGCCTGGGTGGTCTGAGGGGGGACATGGTCCTGGGAAACATTGGGGAACCTGAGTGGTCCTGGAAAACACCCTAGGAGCACCCATCTGAATGAAGAAGTAAAGTGACCTTGGGGTAGGTGTGGAAGCATGTCCGCCCTGGCATCCCTAGCTCTGCTGAAGGTTTCAGAATAGATTTTTGGCTCCTTCCACTTACGTGTATTGAAAAATTGCGGCTAAAATTAACTCAGCCCTAGGGCCCGCCTTTCCAAATCATTAGCAAAGTTCATCAGTGCTCCCTGCCCAGCACATTGGATACTGGTCACTCAGACACTCAGAAAAAGGATGCAAAGGCTCCAGAGATGCCACAGAGATGGTAGAGATAGGGGAGACAGAGGGAGAGATGTGGAGAGGACCCCAAGAGCAGGCCTGGGATTAGGATTCAGTGGAATTGGCTGATTTTGTGTGTGGGGGGGTGGTGGGGGGAAGCTGTCCCCAGAAAATAGGAGCAAAGGAGAGGGAAGTATGAGACAGGGAAAACAAATAGAGGGTGTATCAATGAGGAGCAGGTTGCCTTTTTGGGCAACTTGGGCTTGATTCTGCCAGAGAACTTTAAGGAACTTTGTAGAAGACATCAGAACCCTCCCGCTACTGCCCCAGCAAAGTTCAAGAGGCTGGGGCATTTATCCACCAATTCTTACCCCATCTGAGTGTTGATTGTCACTGTAGGGGGAGAGAGTGGTACTGAAAGCCATCTGAATCTGAGTAGGGAAGCAGAGAGGGATGAGTTGCATGAATGAGACCTGTCGTTCTCACAGTTTAACCCACCAGGATCACCTGGAGGGTTTGCTGATCGTAGCTCTACAGGCCCAAACCCCAGAGTTTCTCATTCAGTTGGTCTGAGGTGGGACCCAAACATTTGCATTTTTAATAAGTTCCCAGGTAGGCTAATGCTGCTAGTTCAGGGACCACACTTTGAGAACCACTAGGCTAAATCACGGACATCTGTGATGTGCATGGTTTAGCCATGCTGACACCTGGTGGGTTGAGGGAATGTAGCTCCCCAAGTGTGTGCCAAAGAGACTGAAATATTGGGCTGGCCCCGTGGCTCACTCGGGAGAGTGCAGCACTGGTAGCACCAAGGCTGTGGGTTCGGATCCTATATAGGGATGGCTGGTGTGCTTGCTGACTAAGCGTGGTGCGGACCGCACCGTGCCGAGGGTTTGATCCCCTTACCGGTTAGGGGAAAAAAAAAAGAGAGGGAGAGACCAAAATATTTAGAGATATAAAGAGGGATTCGGAAGCAGAGAGAGAGGGCTGGCCCCGGGCTAACTTGGTGGTGCCGGTAACACCAAGGCCACGGGTTCAGATCCCTATGTAGGGATGGCCGGTTAGCTCACTTGAGAGAGCGTGGTGCTGACAACACCAAGTCAAGGGTT